AGATGTAAAATAGCCTCACAGAATAGTTCCACTTTATAATCTACTTTTGCCATAAATGGTGCCAAATTTAAGAAAAGGATTTCAGTTTTCAGGGCTTTTTAGATTTTGTAATCACAAGCAAGAGATTTCGGAATGATAGTACATTACAGGAAGGCTACTTAAATGATCAATCTGGGTGCCTTAAATCCACAAGGTATATTTTTTCCTGCTGCATTTTGACTTTCTGTTTCATCCATCTTCCTGTAAAAAGCAAAGCTCGTCCAAAGGGTTATGGTCTGAATTTATATGCACAGCAGTACAGGTTAGTGACATTGATTCTTTTAAATATACCTGGTATATTTCTGGGGCTGCCAAAATTTTGTAAGACACACGGATTTTAAAAACCAAATTTCTCTCTGATTCAAGGCACATTCTTAATCAATGTGCTTTAGAAGCCATTTTATCAAATCATGTCTCAAAATATTCCAAGGGCAGTCAGTCTTCATTCTATTTCATCTTTTTAAAATGTTTAATATTTTCTGCCTTCCATTGCGAACATCACACTTTAGATGTCAACCTAAAAACGTACAAGAGCTTTTCAAAATTAATTCGCGTCCAAGCCCTACCTCCCCCTACTTAGACAAGACCAAGTGGAGACTGAGCCCGCATGTGCCCACGCTTTCCTCTCCCTACAGCCTCTCCTCGCAAACCCCTTCCTTCACTTGCATTCGAAACCCCACTGAAGTGATCCCAACTAACACCTCCAGCTGCTGGCTCCGAAATGGCCACAGGTGGATTGTCCTACCCGTCAGAGGTTCCACGACTTGTGAAACCCATCCTCCCTGCGGCTTTCGTCACACAGAGGAGCCCCCCAACATACTGAGTCACCCCTCTTTCCCTACACATGGGGGAGTCCAGCTCTCCTATTGGGAAGGCCCCATTTCCCTCTTCTGGGGGATCCTCTATTCCAAGCCCTTCCCCCATCACGCTGAGAGGAGATACGCTCCCCCTGAAGAGTTCTCTGTCCCCGCACTCAGAAGGGGGGGTCTGTCCCCCTTCTCTTCCCTCCCCTTCCGGCGTCTCGCGTGGACACCGAATGGGTAACGGTCACCGGGGGCCGATTTTCCCGCGCGCGGGCGCGCCTCCCAGACAAGCCCCCGCGCGTGCGCGCGCCGGTCCAGTTGCGATCTGTGGCGCGCGCCCCCCTCCCGCGTCCCCACTTAGTCCCGGACCCGCCGCGTTCAGAGGCGCGCGCCCCCTCCCCTGAGCCCCGCCCAGCCTCGCGCACCAGGCCCGCGCTCCCCGAGCCCCATCCTTTCCGCGCTGAGCTTCCAGCTCCCGGCGCCAGGGCCTCGGATGCCGGGGCCCCGAGCCGGCGACGCCACCCCTCCAGCCCACCCGGCCTGGCCAGCGGGCCCGTGCATCTGCCTCCACTGCTTCACCTTTTAAATTTTCCGCCATCTTTCCCCACGGCTAACGACATTCGGGCCTAGCCGGCCTCGCGAGAAGATAGCTCGCGCGGGCGTGGCCGGGAACGCGCAGCCTATTGGCCGCGGCTCGCGGCTCGCAGCACCCGCGCGGACCAACCGGAGAGCGGTGACCGAACCCCTCCCCGCCGCTCGGCTCGGTCCGTGAGGCGGGTGCTCGCCGCGCTTTCCCAGAGTGCGTCTGGGCGGCAGCGGCAGCGGCAGTAGCTGAAGTTGCCCGAGGCCCTGCCCGTGCGCCGGTCTGTCTGTCACACTGCTAGCCAATCACGTTGTCAGCCAGTCACAGTGACTCTTCAGTTCTGTCATACCCCTTGTTATCACCATCAGTCAGCTCGTCATTACATTTTAACTCCAAGCTGGCCAGGGCTCCCAGGTGGACTAGCGCCACATCCAACCGCTCAGGCAGTCACCCTAGACAAGTGCGTAGTCAGACCTCTGGCCCCCATCTACTCTGCCGGGCAGTCAACTCCTGCTTCCACGTGTGCCCTCGGGCCATCTGCAACTCCCTGGAGGTAGGCAGCACTGTTAGCCAGCCAGCCTTGTCATTCCCTAAGACCGTCCTGTCCTCACGTTGTCAGCAGATCAATTAGTCCTCCACCCACCGTAGCCCTGGGACCAGCTGCAATTCTGCCTGGGGAAATCCTCTCATAGACTGCAGCATCCAGCCATGCCCCCAGGCGGGCTCTGATTAAGGTCCAGACAAGCTGTCATTGTCATCATCTAATACAGCCCTGTCCGGCAGTCACTATCAATTGGTCACGTCTTTCCGTCAGATTATTTCTCATTCACACCACGATCAGTCACAACACTCAGCTAGGCTCTCAAAGCAAATAGTCACAGCAACTAGAGGTACGATTAAGCCTCCACACCACCTGTCAGCAGTGGGTCAGCCAGTCTGTCATTTCTCAGGCGATGCATCCCGACCATTGGTCAATCAGTCTCCTCTGATGCGTTGAAGCTGAGATTCTATCAGGGCAGACAGTCCATAACCACGTACAGCCATTGAGTCAGACAGCTACGCGGGTTTTGCTGCTGGCCAGCTGGCCTGTGACTCGTTCAATCCGCCCCTCATCACATTGTCAGTCATTCTCAAGCAGCATCCGACTGACCATACCGTCTGTCAGGTGATCAGTCAGTCAGAGCACCCAGCCAGGTCCTCCAGCATGCTGTGATTCGAGCAGTGTGGACAGTCAATCACTAGATACAGTTGCCTAGCAAGCAGCCACAGAGCCTGTTGATCAGTCAGACTGGAATTTCCCCAGGTGGCCCTCCTTTACACAGTGCCAGACAGTATAACATCCAGACATAGCCCCAGGCGAGCTGTGATTCCTGACAATAGTCATTCACAACATCCAGCCAGCCAGGCAGACAGTAGCACCACAGGTCATCAGTCAGCCAGCCTGCAAGGTCCTCAGGAGGCTGCCTGTCCTTTCCACTGTCAGGCCACCAGCCCCAGCTAGTCCTAGGCGGGCTGTCATTCAGTTAGATATTCAGGAAACCGTGCTATCACTTTCTAAAATTGCCCCCTCTCCCTGTCACTCCATGAGTTCTATGGTCAACCAAATGATTGTACAGCTAACCAAACAGATATTCTTTCTGCCTGCCAGTCCAGCTGTGAGATAATTGGAGAAGTGAATGACTGGTCTGAGGTTCCTTCAGCCCCAGCTTGCCCTGAGTGGGACAGACAGGAGCCTAAGTTCCACCGTGCATCCCCTTCTCGAGCAGAGTCAGATGCTGATCCTCACATACCCCCGCCCCGCCCACCAGCGCCCCCCGCAGTCTCCTCTGGCAGCAGGGCTCTCCCACTCCCAGGTGTTCAGGAGACCTGTCCAACCCACAAGAGTGATTTAAGACAGGACCTCTGTCTAGATCTGAGGGGAAGATAAAGGGGTCTGTGGCCAGTGGTGCCCCCAAACACTATAAAGTACTGGGCAAAAGCCTGGATTCTGGAGCCTGACTACCTGGACTCATATCCAGGCTCTGCCATTTGCTAAATTACGTGACCTTTGGCAGTTTCTTAAACTGGTCTGCAAAACCTTGAGTAAGTGGTCTTGGGGTGGTTGTCTCCCACTTATTTGAAAAGTGAATCGTTCTGGACTAGCACTTTTTCAGGAGACCTCAAAAGTTAAGAGGCCATCCTATTGCTACCATGTCCCACTCCCAGCCATTTGTCTGTTCATTCAGCATTAATTTAATGACGACTGCATATACTGCCTTGCCCAGTGCTGGGGCCAATATAAGGTTTTCATTCATTACAAGCTTCACAGGTTTGACCTATTGTAATGTAAACCTCATATTGGAGTGTAACACACATACAGAAGAGTACACAGACCAGGGTGAACACTTTAATGAGTTTACACAAGCCAACCTACATGTGGAACCAGAACGCAGGCTGAGAAACCATTCAGCCAGGTCTCAGAAGCACTTAATTGTTTTGTATAAATTTATTGGGTACAAGTATAATTTTTTTTTTTTTTTTTGAGGCAGGGTCTTGCTCTGTCACCCAAGCTGGAGTACAGTGCTGTGATCTCGGCTCACTGCAACCTCCACCACCCCGGTTCAAGTGATTCTCGTATCTCAAACTCCCAAGTAGCTGAGATTACAGGTGTGCACCACTATGCCCAGCTAATTTTTGTGTTTTTAGTAGAGATGGGGTTTCACCATGTTGGCCAGGCTGGTCTCAAACTCCTGGCCTCCAGTGATCCACCCACCTTGGGCTCCCAAAGTGCTGGGATTATTACTGTGAGCCACCATGCCGGGCCACAAGTGTAATTTTGTTACACGGATACATTGTGCAGTGGTGAAATCAAGGATTTTACCATATCCATCATCTGAATAATGTACATTGGTCTTCCAAAGTGCTAGGATTAAAGGCATGAGGCACAGCGCCCTGCCACAAGTGTAATTTTGTTACATGGATACATTGTGGAGTGGTGAAGTCAGGCATTTTACTGTATCCATCATCTGAATAATGTACATTGGTCTCCCAAAGTGCTGGGATTAAAGGCAAGAGCCACCATGCCAGGCCACAAGTGTAATTTTGTTACACGGACACATTGTGCAGTGGTGAAGTCAGGCGTTTTACTGTATCCATAGCCTAAATAATGCACATCGTAACATTAAGTAATTTCTCATCATCTACTTCTTTCTCACCTCCCTACCCTTCTAAGTCTCTATTGTTTATCATTCCACATGCTATGTCCATGTGTACACATTATTTAGCTCGCACTTACAAGTGAAAAGATTCAGTATTTGTCTTTCTGAGTTGTTTTGCTTAAATTAATGGCCTTCAGTTCCATCCATGTTGGCGCAAAAGACATGATTTTATTCCTTTTTTTTCCTTGCCTTTTCTCTCCCTGTTTTGTTTTCTAAGGAAGCAGTCTCTGAGACTACACACAGCAGCGTCACCTGTCCCCGGAGCCGGGGGCACCCTGGCTGGACAGGCAGGAGAGAATACCCCAGTTCCTGCATATGCAGTTGCTGGGCTCTCTGCACGGGTGAAGCAGGAGGGTGGGTGGAGGCACAAGCCTGTCCTCAGCTGGAAGGGCGGGGCGTGGACAGGGATGGTGGGCAGGTCATCAGTGGGACAAGGGGAGCTTGGCCACTGTCACGCGACGGTGAGTGTGTGTGTGGGTGTGCTGGGCTGCTTCAGCCACAGGGTTTTACACAACCAGGCAACAAAATCCACTTCTTCCACCTCAGACCGCTTGATGAAGGCGTGGTTTGTGAGCATCTTCAGGTCCGCCCACTCCGCTGGGTTCTTGGTGGGGCATTTATTGACAAACTCCTGGAAGTCCAGGGTGAACACAACATTGGGCAGCTTAGGAGGTGGCTCATTCACAATATAGTCCAGCAGTTCGAAGATGGCCATGGCGGGCTGGCTGTCCATCCCATGACCTCTGATGGGGTGCCTGGGGGGTCTCGGCCGAGGCGAGATGCTATGAGGCTCTCCTCCTGCCCCGTTGACCACAGGCCGGCCTTGGTGTCAGGTGGGAGGGATGGTGTATCTTCCAAAGGGCAGATCCACCAGGGACAGGCCCATGCTCCAGATGTCGTACTGCACGGAGTAATGCATGCACTGCAACCGCTCCAGAGCCATGTAGGAGCGTGTGCCCACAAAGGAGCTGGCTATGGAGTCGATGAGCTGCCTGCTCACCCCTAAGTCGCACAGTTTGATTTCCCCTCTGGAGTTCACCAGGATGTTGGAGGGTTTCACATCTCGTGCGTGATTCTGGTGCTTCTCTCAGAGGTACCCCAAGCCCCAGAGGACCACAGTGCTGACTTTCCCCAGGATCTCCTCGGGAATCCTCTTGGCCTCTTTCAGCACCTGGTCCAGGGAGCTACCATCCGTGTGCTCCATGCAGATGGAGCCGTCATTGTAGAAGGCCCCGTAGAAGCCCATGATGTATGGTAAGTTGCACTGGAGCAGGACCTGCAGCTCACAGATGATCTGGTTCCAGATGGCCAGCTTGATTTCAAGGTGGATCAGCTTCCTGGCCATGATGAGTCCCAAGGGTCTGTGCTGGACTTTGGTGACCACCCTGCTGTTGTCCATGCCCAGCTCTGAGATCCTTTTGAAGTAATCATCTTTGAGTTTGCCAACCTTGGCTTTCTGGGTGAGGAAGGCTTGCAGCCTCCTCTTCTGCTGCTCATCAAGTTGCAGCTTCTTCAGCCTCTTCTGCAGGTCCACCAGGTTTGCCTCGGAGGCACCCTCGCTGGTGGGGGATGGGCCCTTGGTGATGGCAGGGTTGATGGTGAGCACTTGCAGCACCGGCTTCCTCCAAGCCAGCATGGCGGCTCTCCTGGCCAGCAGCGGCAGTGCCTCTAGCCGGGGCCCATAGGGGGCGGGCCGGAAGCCGGTGGGCCTAGGCAAGCAAGCCAGGGGCTGTGGCCCTGGCCCAGGCGGGCGTTGGGGCTGCCGAGGGTGGGTGGTGCTGTGGGCGGGGCCGAGGGTAGCCGAGGGGCGCTGGGGCTGAGGCGAGGGAGCCGCCTTTGGTCGCCGCCGCCATCGCCGCCGCCGAGGCCTGAGCGAGGCTGACCCAGCAGAGGGAGTCCGAAAGGCTAGTAGGGGAGGGGAGGCCACCGATTTTATTCTTTTTTAGGGCCGAATAGTATTCCATTGTGTGTACATATCATTCATATATATATATATATATATATATATATTTTTTTTTTTTTTTTGAGACGGAGTCTCACTCCAACGCCAGGCTGGAGTGCAGTGGTGCGATCTTGGCTCACTGCAACTTCTGCCTCCCAGGTTCAAGCAATTCTTCTGCCTCAGCCTCCCAAGTAGCTGGGATCACAGGTGCACGCCACCATGCCTAGCTAATTTTTGTGTTTTTAGTAGAGACAGGGTTTCACCATGTTGGCCAGGATGGTCCTGATCTCCTGACCTCGTGATCTGCCTGCCTCGGCCTCCCAAAGTGTTGGGATTACAGGCGTGAGCCACCGTGCCCAGCTGAGGTAAGCATTATTTTTATCCTCACTTTAAAGACGGAGGGCCGGGCACGGTGGCTCACGCCTGTAATCCCAGCACTTTGGGAGGCCGAGGTGGGTGGATCACCTGAGGTCGGGAGTTCAAGACCAGCCTGGCCATCATGGAGAAACCCCATCTTTAAAAAAATAAAAAGAAAAAAAAGAAAAGAAAGACGGAGGAAACTGAGGCCCACAGGTCAAGCAGCTTGCTCACAGTCAGTTCTTCTACCCCAAGTCTGGGCCTGCTCTGGCCAGCCTCATGGGGGTTCAGGGCTTGTTTGTTGAAGGTCTTTTCCAGGACAAAGCCTGCCAGAGGGGCCCCACAGAATGCTAGATTTCTTTTATTTATTTATTTTTTTATGATTTTATTTTTATAAATAGAGACAGGGTTTCACCATGTTGGTCAGGCTGGTCCTGAACTCCTGACTTCAGGTGATCCACCCGCCTTGGCCTCCCAAAGTGCTGGGATTACAGGCGTAAGCCACCGCGCCCGGCCAGAACACTAGATTTCTAAGTTTTCTGTGGAGGACTGCGAGTAGGGAGAAATTATACTGATGGATCCTTTCTAGACTCAGTGCCCTTCTGGGGACCTGGTCAGGTGGGGTGAGGAGTGGTGTGGAAGATAAATAGTAATGAATTCAAGAAAACCTGAGACTCCCTGTTTTTCTAGCTTGGGGGAGTTCCCCCTTCAACCTAGAAATTCTTCCATTGCTCTTGCAGATAGAAGCAGCCTGCCCTCTCTAGAGTCTCCCTCACATTTATCTTCCTCCCCCCTACCTTTCTCCTTTTCTCCTCCTCTAAAGGCAAGATGTCCGAGATCTCAAATTCACCAGATTTCAGGAATCAGGAGAGGCAGGGAGCTCAATTCTAGGCATTGATGTGCCACAGTTTCTAATTATGCCCTTGGAAATAGCTGTAAACACCAAGGATAGTTTTGAGTTACTCCCTTGTTTCTGGGAGAGCAAGCCTGGAGGAGGCAGAGAGGTGACTCAATGGGATCCCAGTTGAAAATCAGTTACCTCCATTGTATAGATGAGGAAACCAAAGCTTGGAGGTGAGGCATCTTTCCCGGGTTCTAGAGCAGATCTGTCTGATTATTAGGTCTTTGCCTCTTCCATTGCAATTGGCCAGTGTCTGATTTGCACTGGAAACTGGGCAGAACCAAATTTTAAAAATGAAAGGGGCATGCTGCTCATCAAGATCCTGGTGTGTGAGTTGTTATGGAGATGGAAAATGGGGAGGTGTGGTCATTTGAGTGTGCTCTTGATGTAGTATTGTGTTGATTGAATGAATGTTTTTTTTTTTTTGAGACAGAGTCTCGCTCTGTTGTTGCTCAGGCTGGAGTACAGTGGCATGATCTCAGCTCACTGCAACCTCCGCCTCCCATGTTCAAGCAATTCTGCTGCCTCAGCTTCTACTAGTAGCTGGGATTACAGGCATGCACCACTATGCCTGGCTAATTCTTGTATTTTTTAGTAGAGATGGGGTTTCGTCATGTTGGCCAGGCTGGTCTCGAACTCGTGACCTCAGGTGATCCGTTCGCCTTGGCCTCCCAACGTGCTGGGATTATAGGCATGAACCACTGTGTATGGCCGATTTAATGATTTTTTTAAAAAAATCATTAAATGCATGACATCTGGCCTCACGTCAAGCTTTTTCTCACCTCAGGGCCTTTGCACTGGCTGCTCCCTTTGCCTGGAACCCTTTTTCCCCAAATATTCACTTGGCCGACATTTCTGTCTCTTTAGGTACAGCACCACCATCACCTCCTCCAAGTAGCTTTCCCTGACTTCTCCATCTGAATATTGTTTCGTCTGTATCTCTGCCTTACCACTCCACAGCATTTATCATGATCTGCAATTATCTTTTTTTTCTATCTGATTTCTTGTTTCTTCTCTGCCTCCTCCCCTAGAATGTGGATTTCACCCCATAAGGGCAGGAATTTTTGTCTGTTTTCTTCCACTGCTTGATCCCTAGCCCCAAAAATAGTACCTGGCAATAAATGTTTGTTGAAAGACAGAGGGGCAGAAGGAAACACAGAAATACAGGCTAAATGACTGATGGAATAAATGAGTGAATGAATATATACATGTAATGCTAAATAAATAAAACGGATTAAATTAATAAAAGGGACTTTGGTGGAAAGAGACCCACATTTGGAACGTAAACAGACTGAGAATTATAGAGAGACAAAAAGACAATTCTTTTATTTTTGTTTAAAAATCCTTGAGTGAAGAGAACTGAGAATTTTTTTTTATAAAAGGGGCCTTGGGATTGCTAGGGTGAGTGTGAGGACCAGGCAGGGATAACAGCATTGGAGGGGTTGATAGGGAAGAAATGAGGGTTGAAGGCCTGGAAGAGGAGAGTGGAGGGTGGGCACAAAGCAGGCAGAAGGGGAGCCATTTCCTACAGGTAGGAGCGCAGGGCAGCAAGCAGCTCAGCCACTCAGTCATCCCATTCATCATCTTCATCTTCATCGCCAGCTTGGTCCTCCCCTTCGTCTGGAGGGAAAGAGAAAGATGCCCTGGGAGGTTGATGGGGGGGGCTTCATAGGGTCTGGGAGGTAAGGACTTGACCCTGAGAGGCTGAGGTCTCCTGCTAGAAGAGGGTAAGTTAGAGTTTCCATTTGGGACAAGAGATGAATTATAGTTAGGGTCTGAGTTCTAATTGGAGTTGAAGTTTATACTGTCAAAAATGTGGTTAGTCCAGATGTTGTCAAATAAAGGGTTAATGTTAACCTATTTATTGGGGTGAATTTAAATATTATTAGCAAAGGCAGGATAATTTATTATTGCTTCTTGTCTCGTTAAAGCTAATATTTTTGACACATAATGAGGTTAATGACAATAACATTATCAAAATAAGCTGGGCGTAGTGGTGTGCCTGTAGTCCCAGCTATTCAGGAGGCTGAGGCAGGAGAATAGCTTGAACCCAGGAGGCAGAGGCTGCAGTGAGCCAAGATCGAGCCACTGCCCTCCAGCCTGGGCGACAGAGCAAGAGTCTGTCTCAAAAAAAAAAAAAAAAAAAAAAAAAAAAACATTGTCAAAAGATGAAGTTCCTATAATATTGTCATATAATAGATTCACCTTAATCTTGTGGACACACTTTGTGGTTAATGTTGTTAACATTAATGTCAAAATTGGAGTTAATTGTATTATTATCATTTAGAAGGTTGAGATTAATATTATCATCATATGATGGATTAGTGACAGTATCGCTGACACATTAAGAGAGTAATAGTAACATTATTATAAAAAGATAAGGTTAACAGTCAGGCGTGATGGCTCATGCCTATAATCCCAGCACTCTGAGAGGCTGAGGTGGGCAAATCACTTGAGCCCAGGAGTTGCAGAGCAACCTGGGCAACATAGTGAGCTCTCATCACTACCAAAAAAGCACCAAAAATTAGCTGGGTATGGTGGCCCATGCCTGTAGTCCCACTACTCTGGGAGCTGAGGCAGGAGGATCGCTTGAGCCTGGGAGGTTGGGGCTGCAGTGAGCCATGATTGCACCACTGTACTCCAGCCTGGGACACAGAGCAAGACCCTGTCTCAAAAAATTTAAGAAAAAAGATTACATTATAAGATTATTATCTCATAATGAATTAATATAAATCTGTTGACACATGGAATTAAAGTTAATATTGTCAACAATGGTGTTCTTCATAATATTGTCATCACATAATGGGTTAATGTTTCTTTTTTTTTGAGATAGGATCTCTGTCACCCAGGCTGGAATGCAGTGGCACAATCATGGATCACTGCTGCCTTGACCTCCCAAGCTCAAGCAATCCTCCCACCTCAGCCTCCCAAGTAGCTGGGACCACAGGTACTCGCCACTATGCTCAACTACTTTTTTAAAATTCGAGTTTTTGTGGAGACGAGGTCTTACTATATTGCCCAGGCTGGTCTCAAACTCCTGTGCTCAAGGGATCCTTCTGCCTTGGCATCCCAAAGTTCCTGGATTACAGGCATGAGCTACCGCACCTGGCCAGCTGATGTTACTGAACATAAGGGAATAACCTTAATATTGTGGACACACCCTGGCATTAATGTTAATATTATTGTCAAAGTTGGAGTTAATTATATTATTGTCACATAATGACTTAATGTTAACATTGTCAAAAAGGAGACTGACACAAGATTCATGTTAATGCTGTCAACAGATGGGGCTAATGTCAGTATTGGTGGTGACTGCTGGGATTGTTTTGAGGCCAGTGCTAGCCCTGGGAGCCAGGTTTGAGGCCCTGGCAGGATCAACTCACCGGAGGAGTGGATGGCTCTGCTTCTCTTCTGCATCACGTGCATCAGGGCCCCCACCAGTCCCTCTGAGCTCTGAGGTGGTGGCTGCAGTGCTGAGCTCTCTGGGGTACCAGGGGTCTGCAGCAGGCAGGGGTAAGCACAGAGGGCTCAGGGCCTGGGAAAGGAGCATTTCTCCCTGCCCCTCCATCATTATTTTCCCTTCCACACACTCCAGTCCCCTTCAAGGCTCCCCATCAACTTTTCTTTC